TTTTATTAGAGAGAAACTTGTAAATGGAGAAGTGTGTACTCCATATGTCAGCTTAGAAGAACAACTTGCCGATATCTTCACCAAAGGTCTTCATCATGTGYGRCACARTGATTTGTGTGASAAGTTGGGCATGATTGACATCTATGCTCCAACTTGAGGGGGAGTGTTGAAATAATTTAGTTATTTGTGCTAGGGCCTGTTTGGCTAGTTAAAGCATTTTTTATTTCTGTTATTGTACTCACTTACAGCAGGGGCACAAGGGTCTTTTCCCTTCTTATTTCTGCCGGCCTATATAATATAATAAAAGCTGGTGCCACCAGCACTGTTCTATTGCTCCAAACTTTTTCTTCTTCCTTTCTTCCTTCTCCTTTCTCTCTTCTTTCCTTCTCTTCTCTACTTCCTCATATTTCAATCGGATTTATTATCAAGAGGTTTTATAATTTTGAACCTAGTTCCTTATCTTTTAAGTATGTCTTGTATTAAGAAGAATGAATGCACAACATTAACAAAAATGGGGTTCAACTCCATTCTGGTTCACTCATAGAATTAGGAATGCAAGATGTTTGACATCACATTAGCTACTTGAAGTAATGCAATTGGGAAAGAAAAAGAGATTAATGCTCTGTTTGGGAGGAGTGCAAATACAAATGTGTTTCAGTTCAGATACAAATGTGCATGGTTCATATACATAGGCTTTGTTAGTGTGATGCATAAGATGATGTGCTGCATGGTGGTGTAAGATGACATTATGCTTGCTTCTTTGTTGCTAAAAATGTAAGGATATATGTCCTGGTTCTGGATCTAGTATTTTATGATTGTGGCATAGCTTGTAGTTTTTTTATTTTTTTTGATCTTGCATTAATTTGGTTGTTCTGCTACTGACACTGATTTCTTTTTTACAGCTTGTTTTTCTGGTTTTCACTGGAGAAGCCTGGGGTTACCTTGGTAGCCGGAGATTTCTAGCTGAATTAGACATGCAAACAGATGCAGTTAATGGACTTAACAGCACATTAATCGAGATGGTAAGTTTCTTTTATTGGTGAAGTTGCCCTTTTGATAAGGTTATATGTATATTTGAAGATTTACATCTTAGCAATGTCGGACTTGGATTACGCTGGGCAGTTGGACATTCCAAACCAGGATCCAGTGACATTTCTAGTTTTTTTAAGCCTTTGGTTTTCTAACTTAAGAAGAATCAGATGTCCTGTCTTTGATCCAACAAATCATTGAAAACCATCTGTTTTTTAGCCATTCGGATGGTTTTCAACAACCTGCCCTGTTCATTGCTGTATCTTAGCTACAAACAGTGCTTTTAAGAACCTATAACCCTCAATAGAAGCAATAGCACATTCCCGGTGTGCCATATTACTGGTTGTGCTTTTTATTGTTAATACATAGCTTGAGATAATATGTATATTTTATTTACAAAAATATAGTTTACAAGACTTAATCCTCAGTCTTTTGTATGAAAACAATATAGCTAACCATCTAACCACAACTTTTGTACATACACACATGTATGTTTGTATGTATATGTATATGCATGCAAGAAGCTAAGTCTTCTTTTCGTACTACAAACACACACCTTTTCCATTAAGTGGACTTGCTAAATGGCTTTAGTGCTATACTATTGAGCAATCTGAAGGGTACAAACATTAGCAAGCCCTTGGATTGACAAAAAAAGAACAGTTTGGATGAATTCAAGTATCCAGTTGAAGACATTGATGAAAATTAGATGCAGGGCATGGTCCAAATTCAGCAGCACATGCCAAACTAAATGCATAATTAGGAGTATTTATTATCCATCCAATGTGAGGATGATGCTTGGAGTGAGAGAACATAGACATAACATTTTTTTTTGATCAATTAAACATAGCATTTTACTGATACCTTTTCTTATGGGTGCTGTAGGTGATATGTGCATGTAACTAAACCATTTAAGTATACCTTCTCTCATTTTATCACCTATTGGAGCTACTCCTAGCTTACTTTAAATGAATGTCAAAGTGTTCAGCATAGACACCCCAAATACCCCACTAAAGATTGCCATCTAGATGATGACTCGAAAACTATTAGTAGTAGGTTTTGGTTGCTGGCTGGTTTAAAGCTACTCCTAGCTACAGTGATTTACATTTTTTGATTTACTATTAATGAAATGCCTTATCCATGCAAAGGGAGTTGAATATTTACTTTTCACCTTATCCTGCATTCTTTAGAGGCAAGATGGTGAGGCTAGATGCATTTCACTAATATCACGCATTGCGTGGCTTTTGCACAGTGCCATGTCATATGGCATCACCTAGAAGTAAAATGTTATATCACGTGTCTAAACTCCTAGTGCCTTGACACTTGGGTCATAACTTTGTTTGACTATCAAAGAGTATAAAAAATGCACTAAATTACTTGTCCATTATGTTGATTCTGTCATATGCCAACTTATGTAGAAATTGTTCTATTCCATAATGAAAATTATGTTATATACTGACAACAGCATGCTGGATAACATTGATTAGGTCTTGGAAATTGGATCTGTGGGCAAAGGTTTCAGTCAAGGAGTCAAATCCTTTTTCACTCATGCAACAGGGGTGAGAAACTGGTTTTTTCTTAGAAAGCCATGTCCTTTCTCTATACAATAGCTTCATTCCTGCTGCAACATTGTCATTATTGTTGAAATCAGTTCTGGATATTATAGTCTTACTTTTTTGATTCATTATTGTGTACTGATGAGTAATTTTTTAAACATTATAACTTTTTTCTTCATTGACAAGCACATCTTTTTTCTCCTGTGAGACATTTAAGCTTGGTGTGACCTTGCTAGTAGAATTAGAGCAGGATGGGCAAAATCAGGGCACATTTAGGACTGCAGAACAAAAGATAACCCAATATGACCTGTTTTGGTACCTTAGATAATTCATTACATGGGAGAGATTGAGGAGGATATCACCCATAGAATTAGAGCAGGCTGGGCAAAATAGAGTGGTGCATCCAGATTCTTGCGTGATAGGTGAATATCACTTACATTAAAAGGAAAAATCTATATAACAGTTGTAAGACTGGCTATGCTGTACAGAGATGAGTGGAAATACTAGGAAGGATAGGCTTAGGAATGAAGTCAGTTGAAGGAACCTAGGAGTAGCTCCAATAGGTGATAAAATGAGAGAAAGTAGACTTGGATGGTTTGGTTACATGCATGGAAGACCATCAGCAACATCCATAAGAAGTAGGGGTGCTCACAATTCATTTAACCGAACCATGAGATATTTTTTGAAACTGAACCGGTACCACTGGTTTTTGAAAAACCATGAACTGAAACTGAACCAAAACTAATTGGTTAACAGGTTGATTGGTTTGTTTTTGACCAGTTCGGTTCTTTGGTTTCTTGGTTTTTTATATTTTCAATATATATTATAAAAATATATAAATATACAATATAAATACTATAAATACATATAATATATAATTATTGAATATATTATAGATAGATAATTAAAAATATAATATAATATATTTATATTTATATATATAATACATATAAGTTTATATAATATACAAATATATATACTGTTAGTGGAATTTTTTTTAGTATAATTTCTCACATAACATAATTCACCCAATTAGACTAATAACTGTGTTTTTTTTTTGTTATTTGGGTAAGCCCCATTCAGGAAATCACGTAGATATTCCCTTAATTACATCTCTACTAGGGGCAGAAAAAACCTTTTGATTCTGATTCAGAAGTACCAATGAATAGAGACTAAAGTAAGTATCATTTTTTTACAAAATTTTCCTTTGAAAATTCTGGTATATATTCCCTCTTTGTTTGAGAGAAAACCAGCAAATAAATAAATAAACTTTTTATACATAACAAGTAAATAGGTATCATAAAAAGTCATATTTCATCAATAAGGCTACAAATGGCCTTTAAATTGTGGTTATGCGCATTTATCATGGTGTGAGGAACCATAATTAACCAAGTTTCATGAACAAGGTTGTAGATGGTTTTCCCCTCACACATAGGTTAATAGGTTGTGGGGAACCATAATCAACCAAGTTTCATGAACAAGGCTGTAGATGGTTGTCTCCCTCACATATGGTTAAAATGAGACAAGGAGAAGAAAAAAAAAAAGAAAATAATAACAACAAAGAAGGAAATTGTGTGAAAGGAGTATAAGGAAAGACACAAGTCTAATAGAGGAAGTTTGTAGGAGCATTATAATGAAGAGGTGGAGGAGGAATACTGCAATCCCTACCTTCTTCTTTCTCTTCTTCTTCCTTTTCTTCCACACCACAATCTTCTCTTCTTTCTCCTTTGGTTTGTCTCTTGTTGCTGTAAATTTTATCAACTGAATAGAATTAGCCAATAAAAAGGCATTAGCCCCTTCTCCTTGTAGGAGAGGGGTTTATATAGAGGAGGGAGGTGGTTAAGTAACTCCTCACTCCTCTCTTCTTAGAATGCCAAGTGTCACCCCACTTAAAATGGGTTAAGGAGGGAAAAAAAACTCTTCCTTCCTAAGGTGACAAGTGTCCCCCCCACTTAAAGTGGGTTAAGGAGGGAGAAGAAAACTCTCTCCCCTAGGATGACGTGTCCCCCCCC